ATTACTACTAAGTCACTCTAAAAGAGAGAGAGAGAGAAAGAGAGAGGAAGAGCTATTATTTGGCTAGAAAGGTAGAAACATTGAAATAGAAGAGAAAAAGTAAATGTTTGGCTAATTTACAGTTTTTATAGCTGCCATTTATAAACGAGCCAACTTATAGAGCACAATTGACTCGAAAAATTGAAAAACCAACGTAATTGTACTAAACAAATAGCTTTTGTATGTAATACTTCGAATTTTACAACTTTATTTCGATACCGTTTAGTCCAACTACCTAGCAATATTGAAGTTTAATTTTTTTTGTAAAATATGAGTGATAAATGCACATATATAATTTTTACACTGTGTTCAAAAAAAGGGGTCAACGCTGACCAAGCAATTTTTACAAAAAACGCATATTTTCAAAAAAGTGACTAGAATGTCGATTCCCACCGTCGCCTCTGGCCCTTTTTTTCCCGATAACCCCCAATTTGAACACACAAGAATTCGTACCATGGCTAATATGCAAGATCATAAGGCCAATAATAAAAAAAATTTAAAAAAATAAAAAAATAAAAACTTCATTGAGCAACCCAAATTGCTCAGTTTCAATGTTCAATTTATCATAAACAAAATTGATTTTTTCTAGATTGGGAAGGTTCTGAAAAAATCAGGGGGATGTTGAAAAAATAGATGTGTATGTCAATATGTAGATATATGAAAGACAGAGAGAGAGAAAGAGAGAGCGAGAGTGAGAGAGTGAGAGAGTGAGAGAGAGAGAGAGAGAGAGAGAGAGCTATTATTTGGCCTAGAAAGGCAGAAACTTTGAAATAGGAAAGTAAGAGTGAATCTTTGTCAAATGTTATGCTAATTTATAGTTTTTATATTTACGTATCTATAAACGAGTCAACTTTTAGAGTACAATTGACATGAAAAATTGAAAAGTAATGTCATTTTATTAAAGAATAGTTTTTTTTAATTTTACAAGTTTATTAATGTACGGTTTAACCGATTACCTAGCAATATTGAAGTTTATTTATTTATTTTTTTTTTTTTTTAATAAAACATGGAATGATAAATGCACTACAAATAACTTTGGCACTGTTAATATTTTTTTATATACTGAATCCGAGGACTACGTAATCTCGACATTTGTACACGAAGTTTAAAAAAAAAAAAGAAAAAGAGGTCAACGCTGACGAAGCAATTTTCACAAAAAAACGCACATTTTCAAAAAAGATACTAAAATGTTGAGAAACTTCATTGATCAACCCAAATTACTTAGTTTCAATGTTCAACTTGCCTTAAATAAAATTAATTTTTTTCTATATCGAAACGTTTTTGATCAAACCAGGAGGCTGGACAGTCGTAAGTTTACACCCGATACATGGGTATGTAGTGTATGTGAACAAGAGAGACAAAAAGGTAGATAGAGAGGGAAAGAAAGAAAGAAAGAAATNAAAATTTGTTTTGTACAGATTGAAGAATTTTTTGATAATTTAGATAGAATGGGTTCCAAACAGGTGTAGCATATTCTAGTATGGGTTGTACAAAAGTTTTATAAAGATGGACAAAACAGAGGATTTTTAAATTCATAGGTGTTCCGAATGATGAAACCTAGCATCTTCATAGATCTATTTTTTATTGAAGAAATATGTTCTTTAAATATGCAGAACATATGCAAAAGAGTGACAACAGAAAAAAATAGATGATTTAAAAATCATAATCAGCAAGGATAAGTAAACCAAAAAAGAAGGTGTTGACCTACAGTTATTGTTCATGAAAATGTTTTTATAGATGTAGATGCTGTGCCATTTCAAAGCTTATCGTCTGTTCTGAACCTGCAGCACCTGTAACTGCTAGAAATCTGACTTGGTTTCAATGGTTGAATTTTTTCCTCGCTTACGACGTACATCTCAAAGCACTTCGTCCTTGCAGAATGTATAGAGCAAGAGCGTTGATGGTGAAATGTCAAGTACCTATCGACCCTCAATTAGACAAGTCAGTGTATGTCTAGTTAATTGCTATAAGTGTAACGGGTACTTGAGTGAATGCTATGTAAATAAGAAAGAACGCTTTTAAAATTGAGTTAGTGTGTTTAGGTTAAAACTGCTTATTATGTTGAAATGATCTTGTTGATAACCTAAATTTACCGGTAGCAAGGATATAAGGAGTTACCTTCTCGTCTTCCAAGCTGAAGTTCACGCAATCGAGAGATTTACTCAATTCAACTTGACTAAAGGGTACAAAATCAAGGACGTAGCTATCATCTCAGATAGCCAAGGAGCCATCGAAGTCTGCTGGGTCCCAGGACGCTTGGGAGTAGAAAGCAACGAGAAAGCGGACACCCTTGCAAGAAAAGGGGCTGCTACACTGCTGATAGGACCTGAACCCTTCTGTGGCATAGGAATCCACAGGACACATGGGAGTAGAAGGCAACGAGAAAGCGGACACCCTTGCAAGAAAAGGGGCTGCTACACTGCTGATAGGACCTGAACCCTTCTGTGGCATAGGAATCCACAGGACACATGGGAGTAGAAGGCAACGAGAAAGCGGACACCCTTGCAAGAAAAGGGGCTGCTACACTGCTGATAGGACCTGAACCCTTCTGTGGCATAGGAATCCACAGGACACATGGGAGTAGAAGGCAACGAGAAAGCGGACACCCTTGCAAGAAAAGGGGCTGCTACATTGCTGATAGGACCTGAACCCTTCTGTGGCATAGAAATCCACAGGACACATGGGAGTAGAAGGCAACGAGAAAGCGGACACCCTTGCAAGAAAAGGGGCTGCTATACCGCTGACAAGACCAGAACCCTTCTGTGGCATAGGAATCCACAGGACGTGGGAGTAGAAGGCAACGAGAGAGCCGACACCCTTGCAAGAATAGGGGCTGCTATACTGCTGATAAGACCTGAACCCTTCTGTGGCATAGGAACCCACACTATTACCGAGTATCTCAGACAGAAGGACAAAAAGAAAATGAAGGAACGATGGAATTCACTCATTGGACTCAAATCCAAGAACCTCCTAAAAAATTTCGGAAGGAAAGAAATAATACAATGTATCAAAGGAACCACGAAAAACTGCGGACTCTTGACTCTAAGTGGACTCTTGACAAGGCATTGCAAACTAAATGGACATTTGAAGAAAATTGGTATAATCCAAGACAGCTCATGCAGATCCTGTAAAGAGGCAGAGAAGACACCAACACATCTATTAACCAACTGTAGTGCCATACTTGACCGCATGAGGAAGTGTTTTGGGATGTCCAATGTGGCTGTAGAAGAAAAAAAGCTAAAACCGGGCTTAATCAAGTTCCTTGATGAAATAGGACTTACCGGTGTGCCATAGGCACAGAACGGGATACAATAGCTCCTAAAAGGGTACAGTACATTACACCCTGACTAATACATCTACATCATACAACTAAGGATATCAGACCGAGGTCTGACTCCAGCATGGCAAATGATCGCATTTGCAGATTATGTAATGAGGAGGAGGAAACAGCCACTCATATCATCTTCGAATGCGAAGCAACAGCTCAATGGAGGTTTAACCTAACGTACGAAAAAAACTCAAGGAACAAAATTGCAGCAATAACAGTCAATGACCTGATACTTATGAGAAGAAGGATTGAGTCTATTGACTAAACTAGGGAACTGGGAAGGTACAATAAGCCAGAAGGCTGCAGTGCCTGGGGAATACAAGCCCCGCTTCCCAGCATCCCTTCCACCATACCATACCATACCAGCATGGCAAAACAACAAATCGGGCAATGCTCGCAGCAGGTTTGATTCTGCAGATATGTATGCAACCAATCAATAATTTAATAATTAAGCCGGAAATGAACGGTCCTTCGACGTAATAACAACACATTTATCATCTATTAATAATTAAGTCACTTATTAACAATGTAATTAATTAATGCCCTCATGGTCAGCAGGTGGCAATCAGAGGGTCATTCGAAGGATCCTAACTCGACTCAGAATCGGCCATACGCGGTTGACACAAAAACTTATTTTTGAGCCGAATCCAACATGTTTTCAGCATGAAAAAAAGCTTGCTCGATGGTATAATTCCAGGATGTGATTCCTAGATTCCTAGGCTCCAGATAGAGAGGGGGTAAAACTGCCACCCCATACGATAACTGAGCTCAAGTCCGGTAGTAAATCTTTAATTTCTGTCTTCTGATTCTCGGTAGAAACTGTGGTACGTTTGTACTTAAAGCGTTTTTTATTGCAATAAATCTTATTCACTATTTTTCGTGGTCCGCCTGGCCAATTAATAACATTCAATTAATTAAGGTTTTAAGTTGAGATAAAATAAATTCAAAAGGTAGGGTTGAGATGGGAAGTTAGTGCCCGACGGGATCGAAGTACGATAGCTCAAGTGGTTAGAGCGGCGTATCAAGCCAAAGGTTGTGGGTTCGAATCCCGCTAGTGACAATGACTTTTTAATCTCAACTTAAAACCTTAATTAATAAATCTTATTATTGTATATATAACAAGTTTGATGAAAGATTTATTCGATTAATATTTCTTGAGAATGTATTTATAAGCGTAAATGTTGTTTGTATAGAGTACTCCTCATCACTCGAGTAAATAATACATAAACAAGACAAAAATGTATTTAAGAACGAATAAAAGAGTAAGTGCGATTCTGTAAAATCAAATCTCTTTTATCAGGAAGTGAGGGAACCAAATAAAATCACATAGACACACTGAAGATGGTAAAGTGTCGAAAAGTGTCTCTGTCATACTTTATAACGCTATATAATAGCCCATCAATTATTATTACCAATAAAATTTCAAATTTTATAGTTGATAACTTTGATAAAAATCTGACCATGAAATTTAATGTTCAATCTGTTCTCCCAAGCCGCTTTTTAAAGCTGAAAGGATTGGGAAATAAATAATCATCTCTGAGAAAAGCTTCAACCTTCATCGCTTTATAAGTATTATAAAACTAAGCTGAATTTTTTTTTTCATAAAAAAATAGAAATTTATTCAGATACTTACTTAGTCCTGTTTAACGGCGATTCTTCTCCGAAGGTATGGAAGAACTATTTGGGCAATAGACTAAGTCGCTAAATTATTTTTGTTAATTTGCTTAACAAAGACATTAAAGAGTGAATCAGATTAATTTAAATCTTGACTAATAAATACTTTTTTAAATCCTCTCTTGTTAATATAGTGTCCTCAACAAAAAATATATCTATCAATGCAATAACAATGAGTTTAACAGTCGTCGTTGGCTATTTATCACACTAATTGTGGCTTAAAAGAGCTCGGAAACAGCAGTCGCCCCACCTGAGTGAAGTCTTTTGTGAAGGGCTGTTTCGGGTTTTAAATGCCAAGCTGTACATGAGTGACCGTTTTAAGAACCATGAAAGCGAGCGAGAACCCCGAACTAAGGCCCCCGAAAAATCACTACAGCACCTGAAACAAACAAAAAACCAATAGGTTTAAAAAAATGGTGAAAAATTCAAAAACATATTTCAAAAATGTCAGGAGGTTATGCTGACGAGCGTTTACATGAAAGGAATTGATGGGGGTTTTTCAGACCTCGACGCGACAATTTTTTCTCATAACACCTGACAAGCCTCTTGTAAAATGTCGCACAAATATGTTCGATACGTTTTACGATGTTTGACAACATATCATTATTTTAAATATTACTTATCAAAAGGAGGGTAACGACATGAGTTCATCTAATTCAATAAAACTTTTGTTTTTTACTAAAAAATATTTTAAACTGCACGTAATGACTTGAACTTGGCCTCCATAAACAAATGGAAACCGGAGAAATGAAATCAAAATATTTTCAATTTTTTATTGGTTCTGTCCTTTTTTAGAGAACAAGCTTTAAAACGGTTTAATAACTTTCAATTAATTAATCCTTTAAATAAGGTTGAGATAAAAAAGTCAGTGTCAAGAGCGAGATTCGAACCCACGACCTTGAACTCATGTGGTAGAGCAGTGGCGTATTAAGCCGAAGGTCGTGGGTTCGAATCCCGCTCGTGACACTGACTTTTTTATCTCAACCAATACCTTACATAAAGATTAATTAATTGAAAGCATTTATTTGGTCAATCGGACCACGAAACCTAATGAAGGTTTTTAATAACGTTGAATTTAGGTAAAATTTAAAGGAATTATGAATGTCTAAGTGCAAAACGGACGCGGCTAGAAAATAATTACCACGGCTGATCCGGTTCAAAAATGTACATTTTTTTGTTACAAATAGTACGTAGATGAGTCAAAGAGTATGAAAACAAATCATATAACATATAATTTTGCCTTAACTATGGCGTAGTTTAAGTGCACCTGGATGTGAAAACACAAAAACGTCTTTTACTAACAATATGGACAATTAATCCATTTATGTTCTAATTGACAAAATTACTTATTTCAATTAATTATTCTTTTTATGTAAGGTCTTGGTTGAGATGAAAAAGTTAGTGTCATGAGCGGGATTCGAGCCCACGACCTTCGGTTTATACGCCGCACCGCTTTTCTAACCGCTTTTTTCGACCCACTAAGATACCAACTCCACATTTCAACCTGAAGGTTCAAGGTTAAGTTTATTAACTGTTTTTAAAGTGCATTTTCTAAAAATTCAGAATCACTTGACCATCCTGGTCCAACGTTCTTTGTTTGAAAAATGGCAAAAAGAGAGAAAATTCGCAAGGTTGTAAGTTGAGATGGGAAGTTGGCGTCCAAGTGGATCGAAGTCACGATAGCTCAAGTGTTAGAACAGCGGCGTATTAAGCCGCAGGTCGTGGGTTCGAATCCCGCTCGTGACACTGACTTTTTTATCTCAATCAATACCTTATTTAAAAGATTAATTAATTGAAAGAATTTATTTGGTCAATCGGACCACGAAACCTAATGAAGGTTTTAATAACGTGTGGTGATTAGTTTTAATAATGTTGAATTTAGGTAAAATTTAAAGGATTTATGAACGTCTAAGTGCGGAAAGGACCGCAGCTCGAAAATAATTGCCCCGGCTGATCCAGTTCAAAAATGGACGTTTTTTCTTTGCTAAAAATGTTACGTAGATGAGTTAATGAGTATGTAAAAAAATCAAACTTACTTTTTTAATAAATTCGCTTTTTATCTCAATTTATTGAAACCATGTTTTGCTTCTTGTAAATTTTTATCTGCTTAATCTCATTTATTGTAATAACTAGGCTTTACGTAAGGTTACAGGTTGAGATTAAAAAAATCAGCGTCACGAGCGGGATTCGAACCCACGACATTCGGCTCAATACGCCGCTGCTCTACCACTTGAGCTATCGTGACCTCGATCCACTCGGACACTAACTTCCCATCTCAACCCCACCGTTTGAATTTTCCCTCTATTTTGCCATTTTTCAAGAATTAATTAAAAGATGTTATTTGCTCAATCGGACGACGAAATCTAATGAATTTAATATTACAATAACATACAATCTAAATCGTGTTGACATGGCCTGAAATAAGACAATTGTTTAACTTAATAGAGTTTCATTGCAGAAGTAACAGTCGGATAAAATCAATAAGAGTTGTGATTTTGATTGAATTTAGTAAAGAGTTGTGAAATTCCGGATATCGGAAAAAAATTAGTCGAGCCAAAAAATGTGGATTAATGTTTGATCTAAAAATGGTTATTTATTGGCTAAAAAATGAGCCTGAGATGTTTTTATCAAAAATATTTTTGACTTATTTTACGTCTTTTTCTAACTTTTTATACAATTTATTTGAAATTATACGTAATCTCATTTAATATGATCTTACATATTATTTTCTTATCGTATATTTTTTAAAAAATCTACTGATATACGATAACTTTGAAATATATGCACCACAAAGACAGAAAATTACATTAAAAAATTATGTAAATTACTTAAAATATGTTTTTTCTACGGTTTTAGTGCTCATTGGCAAGAACACCCGAATGAATTTAATATATTTTGGCCAAGCATCATCAAAAAATATTTTATTAAATTCGGTAAACCCATGTCCTCTTGATAAGTAATATTTAAAATAATGATATGTCTTCAAACATCTTAAAATGTATAAAACATATTTGTGCGACATTTTCCAAGAGGTTTGGCAGGGGTTATGAGAAAAAATTAATATGCCGAGATCAGAAAAAAGCCCATATACTTTTATGTAAAACATGCTTGTTGGATTAACTAGGTTTTCTTGATATTTATTTTCTACTTGTGATATTAATTATTAATTAAATATTATTTCTAAAAAGAAAGAAAAGTAAATTTTTTTTAATAGTGTATTTTTACTGTTAGGACCAACGTTTATGGTCGGTCCTGGAGAGGTAAGCATTGTCGACAAACTTTCCAGCAAACTCCTCCTTGTAATTGAATAAAGTTCAGGTTCAGACAATTTACCCGATTGTCTTCAATTCAAACAAAATTGTTTAATAATATTTAACTTAAATGCTTATAAACATGCTTTATTGAATCATGCTATATGTTAAATACATATTATACACGGTGTCCCGTGAATCAATACTTCAGGAGGTCATCCTAAGCGTCAAATTGGACTAAAAAGCCCCTATTGTTCAAAACCTGATTCAAAATTGTAATCGAGATATTTCACTTTTCAGGTAATTTCAATCTTCTATATCTTTATTCTATAAAGTCCCTCGAGTCTCATCAAATGTAAATCCCTCGGTAAATTTAATTATATCAATAGAAAGAGTATGTAAACCCCTATAACATTCAGTTGTGATTTTATTGTAATCTTAAGCAAACAGAATACAAAATTCCTTAAAAGATAAACTTTTACTAATGTCTAATTTTTTTTAAAGTTTAAATAAGATTTTTTAATTATGTAAGTATTGGCAGATATGCTTACACAAAAGTTACCCCTAATATTGAGCTGTAAATACATACAGATATGTCCTCAAAAAACAAAAACATTTAATGTTTAATTGTTAATTATTATATCACAACCGGTTCAAAAAAATATTAGTCATGTAACTTCAATTAAAAAATAATGAAAGTATAAAAGATAAGTTAGTACAAAAGTGAACTTAAGAAAAAATATAAAGGTTCAAAGCAGTAAAATCTGTCAGGGAAAGTTGACATTTTGAACATTTAATTTAATCTTTTGAAGCTTTGTGTTTTTTATTCAATTTTGTACGAAAGCACCATTTTTGTTTATTTTTCAAAACTGTCTGTCTAGTTCATTGCATTGGTGTAATCAAATTTACAATAGGATTGACATTTTAAGAGCTTAGAACTTTGTGGAATAAATTTGTTGGAAAAGTGAAATACGTCCATTACAATTCAAAATCGGACTATGGACAATTGGTATGTTTTAGTTCAATTTGACATATAGGAAAACATCCTGAAATATTGATGTGAATTCACGGGTATCAAATATGTAATATATACTTTATTATTTTTCTCTATTTATTTACGTTAAAATTGTCTGAAATTATATTACAAAAATAACTTGACGTAATTTATCTACATAAATTAAAATTTAAATAATTATTTGACCGAAATTGACCACGTTTTGTCGGGTCACACAGACAACTTCAAAAAAACAATAACGGGAAAATATTAGGTTCTGAAATATAAACATTTATTATTTTATCCACCTTGCATTTCCCGCTATGTTTTTCCACAACGTTCAATTCTTTCATTTTGTTTTTGACAAGTTGTTAATTAAAGTAAACTGAAAAAAATATTAACTGGAAAAAGGGGAATATGTAAATTTAAGGTACACTTTGTTACAGTTATAAGAAGAATCTGCCAGCCCCAATACCCCTTTCCTAAATAGGCAGCTTGCAACTTTTAATAGTAAAGGTAAATTATTGATCTTTTATTATTGACAAGAACGAATTCACTTCCCTAGTAAATAGTAAAAGTTTGTAAGATTTGTTAAACAAAATTATGTTAACTCACTCAATCATTACTAACATTAGATCCAGAACCCGTAATTCTTCAACAACAACATTTGTTAGTACATAAACTCGAGTTAACAAACAAAGTAAAATCGATCAAAGTTTTTTTTATTTTTTATTTGCGGACTTCGATCTGTTTTAAGAGCTTAGCCAGTGTAAACCCGGTAAATCTAGTCAAGTCGTTTCCGTAAATAGAACGGTCAATTTTACTGTTCAATAAAACGGACTTTGTATTGTAATTTTATGTTAAAATAACGAAAATTATTCTTTTATTAGCCGTGTAATTATGCAGTAAAATTTCTATCAAGCTTATTTCGACTTTATTTCATTATTATTGATTGTTTTCTACCGTTTTATTCAATAATTGAGTTTTGAAATGGTTCTGAATTAAGAACAAATCGTTCATTGATTAAATTTTTAATTAAGTTAATTATTAGATCAAATTAAACGGCTAAAACGAATAAAATTTAAGAAATATTAGAACATTTGTACGGCGCTACGAATGCTAAACCAGCAAGAA